GAATAAGCCACCGTCGGAGACTGCTTTTGGCCGCCAATTTTTATGCCAATAATTGAAGAGTTTGTTATGGATTCATTTCCTCCTCATATTCCATTTTTTGTATCTTTTGATGATATGTTTTTTGTTTAGATTTGTAACTTTTATTTTTATAAAAGGCAACGGAGTGGAAAATTCGGTGGATTCTCATGTGAAATCTGTAATAAAATTTCTAGCGTAAACTGTGTGTTAGTGAATCACCTGTGTCTTTTTTAAGGTGGTATATCGCAAAAATTATTTGCCGTATAGAACATTCCGCTTCATTTTTAGCGCTGAAAATTACAGACAGCATTTTTTTTTTATCAATACACATAAAAAAGGCTTTCTCACGTTTTTCGTGCGCAAAAGATATGTTGCTTTTTTTTTTTTTTTTTTTTTCCTTCCTTTTAATACTGGGTACTAAGTTTAGCTCACAAAGCCACAAGCTTATACTTTTTTTCTCAGAAAGTAACCAAAAAAACACGTCCTTCACGTTTGCTGTCACAGCTCAGACTGAGCTCAAGCAAAGAACGTCTACGAATGCATGATCCGCAAATTTTGTGTAAATATTGTGAACCTTACTTTACAGTTGCTTTGTATTTTTAAAGTACCAACTATTTTTTAATTCCTTTAACTTTTTTATTTTATTTATTTATTTATTTTTACTAACAGCACATTTTAGTTTTAATAATATATATATTATTTCATTAATATTTAAGGCTTCTAGAAACGCAAAAAAAAAAAAAAAAATTTTAATTTACTTCAGCTTCTATGGAATTAGTGATGTTCATAATATGCATTATATCCTTACTTATTTAAAAATTGCTAGCGTACTTTACTTTCGCAGTTCATAAGAAGAAATAAAAATTTCCAATAACATGGAATTTAGTAAACAAAACTTTTCTGCGTTTTACGTCAGGATCCATATCAAATCCAAAACAAACAATACTCGTTTAAGCGGGAAAAATTCAGATGTTTAACATCGTAACTCGCAAGCTGCTTGTTTGGCGTCAAAATATTACAGTGACACCTAGCGGCGGAAAATGAAAATATTCTACGGATACGCGGCACTGGAAACGCTTCTACGGATGCCGTAGGCGTGTCTTCAATTGACGCAACGCGTTCGTACGCAGTAGTGGAAACGAGGCTTTAATTGTTATTCTTGAGTAGATTCCTTTTGTTCCCCATGGACCTTATAAGAAATAGACCAACCCAAATGGGTTTTCTCCCTCGTCTGATGCGTTCCCGGCTGTCACCTTGATCACATCCGGAGGAGTAGGAACGACTTACAGAAATTTAACAGTGGGTTGCCTATTGCAGCGTGTATAATTGTGAAGAAAAAGCTGGTTGTAGCGCCTCATTGCACAAATTAGAATTTCTCCATATTTTTATTTTTGAAACTGAGATTGATTTTTAAAAATTTAGCATATTTATCAAGCATAATTAGCGTTCCAAATAATTATAAAGCTATTGCATGCTTTCAGGTCTGACATTATCAGGGATGGATTTTTTTTTAGCTTTTTCTACGCTGTAAGGAAATTTGTAACTACTTCTTTTAGAAATTAATATTTTAAATCTGAACTAATAGAAAATTTCAAACAAGCAATTTTTTCTTGCATTTTTTATGCTTTTTATTGGTGTAAATAAGGAAAAAATACTTAAATATTTAAAAACGAATTTTTAAATGTTTTGTTTAAAATTCTAAATTTTGCTGCTTTTTTAAAATTATAGAAGAGTATTATAGCACAATTTCTACAAAGGAATTTTATTTCAATTATATTTCATAATACATCATAGTGATAAACACTTTTGACTCCTTAATTTTTATACATTTAATTCTAATATTAAAATTGTATTTAACCGTAATAACTAATTTTGCTGGTACTTTATAGTGATTATTTTATCAATTTATTTTTAGTTCTGCATAAGATTTTTTTTTATTTACTGTTAATTTAATTTATTAGCTCGAAGCGGCATTTTGTGCTGTTTCACTATAAATGTCCGTGTCTCCTTGCAAATTGTTGTTACCAAATATTATCGCCTTGTATTATATTTAAAGAAATTAAATAATGAAGAATCTGCATGAATTACATGTTATGTTTCACGCACTGTGACAAAAACGGCGGCTGTATCTAGAGCCATCAAATTTTGAATAATGTAATTCTCCACCCGAACATGGGCATCTGGACGGCCGAATGTCGAGTTTGTTTTAATCTATTTCATATTTTGTAAAACTTTAACAAATTTTTTATTAACAAACTTAACGAGTTCAAAGCGAGCAATAGTAACACTGTACGGAAAATAAAATTTCGGAAATTCTAAAGATATGCTGTTTTTTTTTCAAATGTATGCGGTTTACGGGCGACGAACATGACATTCAATAAATACAGGTAACGCACATAATGTTAAAAAAAGGTTTCTTTTGGGCGTAATATAAAATCAGAGTGCTTTTAATTTAATTTTATCTTTTTTTCCCCTTCATTACACTCAAAAACTTTTATGCTTCGAATTTTATAAATTACTAAAATAAATAATTCACCTTAGTGTTAATAATTTAATGATGATGTAATCAAATAAATGATCATTTTGTAATGTTATTATAGTTTTAAAAATCACTGCCTGAAAATGTTCATTACATTTTTTAAAAAAATTATCAGATCTTGTTTAATTTTACCTTATTTATTTCAAAGTATCACGTACTATCAAGCATATTTAGCTTTACTTTATTTTTACGCAAAATTAAGTTGATAAATTTTGTGCTTAGAGTTTTTACCGTTTTACCAAAGTAAAAATGTTCGGACAAGAAATACGCGTGAAAAAAATGCGCGAAATGCAGTAAAAAGTGCTTTTTAAATATTAAATCCTATTTGAAAAAAAATTTTACTTTCATAATTTCATCACTATACAACGTATCACATTTAATAATTAAAAAGAGTTATGTGATACAAACGCCGTAGGTTTCAGTGTTAAAGTAAACCAGATTGTCCCTACTCTTTCTTGTCCACATGTCGATGACGCGCGCCCCTCCCATTGGTTTGGTCTATCTCTTATAAGGTCCATGTTGTTCCCTCTATGACGAATTTTCGAGGGAGGAAAAAAAAAAAAAAAAAAAAAAAAAAAAAAAAAAAAAGATTAAAATTTGGGACCTGCCTATTACAGAAGAGTACTGACTTTTTATTATTATTTGAGGTGAAAAAAAATGTATTTCGCGAAACTTATATTTCCTTGCGAAAATAATTGCTTTTATAGTAATAAAAAATCTGATGTGTACACAACATGACTTCCTTGTACGGAATATTAAATTATATGCATTTTGTCTTGCATTTCATTTAAACTTATTGGATTGAATTAAATCTACTTCGCCGACCGCACATAAACCAAGAATAAATGCATTCTTTAAAATTCACTCTATTTGTTTACCATAGCGACACTCTGGCGCTAGGCTCACTTAACAGTGTTATATTTCGTTCATATTGTAACTCAGAATGCACAAAATTTATATCATTTAAAGAATTATCTAATCGTTGCCACATGTTCTATTTAAATGCTATAATAAAGCTAAAACGATGTATAAAAGAAATTAATCAAACAAAACAAAAAAGAAAATGTTTTTCACAGACGATTGAGTATTTCGCATTCAATTAATTCAGTTCTTAAAAAATCAGTTAATTCAGTTAAATCTTAAACACATATTTCCTCGAGAAAATTCAAGAAAGGATTAAGCATGATTTAATTCGCAATAATAAATGAAGACATTATCTTTGTTGTTGAGAAGCTAAGTTTCTTTAGATTAGCAACAAATCCCCTATTCTGCTGTTTCAAATATAAACAAGCAATATCCGCCATCAAAAATATTATTAGGCTTAGCGGCACTTAAACAACTTTAAATTTGTTGATAATTCTAAAAATATTGCATACAGATTTACTAAAGGCATAAAAGTCTTAACCGGAAGATAAAGAACAACATAATTCAATCTTTTTTAAAGCAAAAAATGCACAACTTACAAACATATAAGAGTAAAGAAACTGAGATCACTGAGCCGGGTAACAGAGTGGATATATATATAAATATATTTGTATACGTTTGGTGCGGCCGATTGCAACCAAAATACGAGGTGCACATCAACATGTTATAGCAGTCCCACATACAAAATTTCAACTTTCTGAGGCTACTTGTTTTTGAGTTATGCGAGATACGTACGTACATACGTTCGTACAGACGCCGCAAGAATGCTTAGATTCGAGATATCTTCTAAGAAACGATGGTTTCATACTTTGATTGGATAATAGAACACATTGAGGTCAAGGGTCCGTTTCATCTCCATTCGTAGTAAACTCATATGATAAATAATTTTCATTATATTTTCTACAAACAATTTTTTTTTTCTTTGTATTATTTTTAATGCTAGTAGATTGTCCTGGATCCATCACCTGTGAATCAATCATCCCTTTTTCACTTTGTCAATCCTAACCATGTTTCCGTTATGGAAATCTAAATTTGTTTTGTTGTTTTTTCACAAATATTTAAATGCACAGTATACAAAAACAAAAGATGATATTCTCGAAAGCAGATCGGTGCAGCAAAATGATTCTAATTGAAAATAGAATAATGTGAGCCGGAAACGGTGGCGATATAGAGTGCACATATGCTAATAAATCAACTCTTGAATTAATGAGATATTATTATCTTTTTATAGGAACTTAATTTCATTTCCTATTAAATACGCCATTCATTTCTAGTCTTCTTTTTAAAAACAGCATTTACGACAAATTTTATGTCTTTAGCAAAAAGAATATTTGTCAAAATAAAAACGGATTATTTTGCTAAAGTTTGTGAGCGACTATAGACTTTGAACAAAGCTTAGATCGATTTGCGAGTGTTAGAGAAAGACTTAAACATGATGTTGCGGTATTTAATTTTTGAATTTAATAGTTAAAAATAATTAGTTTTTTGCGTACCACCGGTTCAGAATCGCTGGTCTAGATATTAATAAGACGTTTATCTATATTTACAGGTCACGATGCTGAAGTGTTTTTATAACAAAAATGCCAAAGGAGCTCTAAGCAGAAAGTGAGTAAAAATATATTTATATCATTGTCAATTTTTAAAGCTTCATAAAATATGATGGGTTTATAAAGTATATTTCTCAAAATCCCTTTTAAATAGCGCAATGACTAAAATGTTATGACAGGTTCGAATCTGGCTGTCTTATTAAGTCCGCAGGTAAGAAATAGAGGCAGGTTTCATTTATAGCATGAAAGATTTATAGTTGGAGGGCTACATTTTTTCTGCTCAAGAGATTTACAGCTATGGTTCTGGTAGTTGCATTTGCCGCGCGAGAATTCTGTAGTTACCGTTTGAGATCGTTTTCTTTGACATAGAGCTGGCCCACAGTCATAGTTGTAATGATTCTATTCGTTGCTTCACAGCCATATGAAACTACACCATTTCTATCGTAAAATTTGATGCATATTTTCTGCGCTAATCTTATTCATAAGATATCGATTAAATTAAAATCGATTTATTTAGTAGTCTTTCCTCGAATAATACTTTGATATGTTCATTATTTGATACTCCCTGGAAAAAGATAATAAACCCAAGCAGAACACGCAAGTTTACTTTTATTAGTCCAAAGGGGCTTTGTCCCTGAAGGACTATTGTTTTCGTTTTGCGATTTTGCGTCGGACTCATAAACATCGGTTCACTTTTCAAACTGTTGCCACAAAATGTTAGAGTCCTGCATTATATTTGAAGAAATTAAATAATGAAAAATCTGCATAAATGATTGTCTATTTCTCGCATTGTGATAAAACAATGGTACATAGAGCCATCGAATTTTGAATGACGAAATCCTACTGCGAATATGGGCATCTGAAATCCCAAATTTGGAATTTGTTTTATTATAGATTTTTATATTTTGTAAAACTTTAACGAATTTTTAATTTACAAACTCAATGCTTTAAAAGCGAGTAATGGCAGCGTTATATAGAAAAAAAATACTTTTATCTCCAGCTCGCGAGACTGTGTATATCGGAAATTCTAAAGATATGCTTAATTTAACATTATTTTGCGATATTGCTCTTGAACTGAATTTTATGGTTGAAGTGCAAAGAACATGATATTTAATAAATAAAGGTAACACTCAAAACGTTAAAAAAACGCCCCTTTGGACGTAATTTAAAATCTGAAACATTTCAGATTTTTTTAAAATATATTTAGTCCAAAGGGGCTTTGTCCCTGAAGGACTATTGTTTTTTTATTAGAAATAAGCTTAATCATATGCTTTTGTCTATACTCATTTTTATAATTCCTGTACAACTCTGTGAACTCAAATTTTAGGGAATCATTTATACAATGAAACAACTCTTTTTGTCAAACAAAAAAATTAATGCCGTTGCCATTTCTCAAGCTTCAAGCAAATTCAAATACAATTCTTCAAGCAAATTGACGGCATGTACGAATTTTGTGTCTCAAACAGTTGAAAAATATGCGCGAAATCAAAAGGATTCAATTTTAACATGAGATGTAATACTGGGTATGTATCATTTGTATTTTGTTATTTTTAAACTTATTTCTTTTAAATACTGAACTGCCGAAAAAAACTGATGTACCATTTCATTTATTTCGTGAGGGCATGGAATTGAACAGGAAAAAAAAAAAAAAAAAAGAGAGAGAGAGAGAGACAGAGAAGAAAGGGGAAAAAAGAAAAGACTACAGGAGTATTCTAGAATATTCTATTCACAATAACAACATGTATCTTGCAGATCAGTCCGAAATTTTATTATATTCGAAGGGATATTCTGTATTCTACGAAGCATAGCATCTGAATAGTTATCAATAATATGTGATCTGATGACTCGGCTTCAGTCACAGATAATTGTTCCTTTCACATAATTCCATTCCTTTAACATAACCAGAAACATTTAACCATAATTTGACATCTTCAGATTTCTGTATGGTTGGTCATAATCCTCTAAACAAAGGCATAACTCATCAGAATGTAAGCTTCGCATGAACGGGGGGAACTTGTCAGAATGTGTGTGTACATCATCTGTCTCCAACAGATGAATGTACAGACATCATCTGTCTGTACATTCATCTGTTGGAGACACTTATAGACGTAATGACTGCCAGTTTAACATATTCCATACAGGATGGTTTGCCTATATCCAGGAGGTTTTCCCTATCGAGTGAAATTATTCTTAACATTTGATACTGGTCATATTCCTCCTTTCTGCTGCCACACTCATGTTTGTTAAGTTCAGAGTTTTATCGAAATCTTTGCAGTCACAACGAACATCTACTTTTGAAATGGACATATGTGAAAATTCAAATGTCGCCTTAAGTTCCAAAATGATATGGTATTTTTCACAACATCCAGGTATTAAACCGCTTTAAAAATCGCTTAAATCGCATAAACTTGCTATTCTTAGAACGAAATAGCTTTAGAAGCTTTAACACTTGCCTTTCATTTAGGTTAAAATAACACGCCGAACAATGATTATTTTAGAAGCCAAACAATAAACCCAAATCCGCGTTATATTTGTAAATTTTCAAGGACTAGTTTCTCTACTGTCGAAGTTGAACCGAAGCAGCTTTCTTCAACTGTCAAAGTGCAGCTGAGGAAGATGGTTACACTTTGTCAGCTGAGGAAGATAGTTCGTTAGTCATACCATCAAAACTAGTCCTGGAAAATTTGCAAATACAACGCTGACTTTTGTTGTTGAACTTCTGAATTAAACGCGCCTTTCAATTTAGTTTACGCAACTGCATGCATGATTGAATAATGTTACTTTGTATTCTGCGTAAGCTCAAATTTACCAACTATTTTGTCTCATATTGTAAATCCAAGCATGAGAACACACACCATTGACAATGGATTTAATTAGCATTGGGAGAAGGATCACTTCTAATTTCCACTGTCGTTTTGATGCGAGAACTCGTTTGTTTTGTGCATAATGAATAACTACAATCAGTGTCACTGATAGAGCATATCATATGTATTAAAATGAGAAACAGACAGAATAATTTAAAAATCTTTTTCTTGCTTTGTTTGCAAATAAGTTACACTCTGAGCAAGAAATTCACGAGTTTTCGAATACAGTGATCTCGAATTTCTGCTTCTATCAAATGCTGTGATACCTTCTGGATTTTTTCTCAGGTGCAGTTAGTATAAAATCATCTCAAATTTCACTCTTGTGAACTTCAAAGGATCTAAAACATGCCATGATAAATAAGGACAAATAACCATTAATTGGAAATAAAATTCACTTTGTAATATTTTGACTAAACAAAGGGAAATAACGTTGCTCCTCTACATCTTCGAATGAAAAATAAATTGGCAAGAGATTACATAGGACAAGTGACTAGTTTGTATCTTGTACAAAAATGTATTTTAACTATAACTTTTTAGTCCAAAGGGATTTCAGTCTCGAAGGACTATTGCTTTCGTTTTGGCATTTTGCGTCGGACTCATAAACGTCGGTTCATTTTTCAAACTGTTGCCACAAAATGTTAGGTATTGATATGACTTCATCCTCTGGATTTGGTACATTTATCTATTTGTTTTTATTTATTGAATTTTATGTCACAAATTGTTATCATCCCATCTTGTGTTTGGCGCGTCATAATCATCTCTGGTTTTTGCGCCATAATCACTCACTCACTTACTCACTCCACAAAATGTTAGAGTCCTGCATTATATTTGAAGAAATTAAATAATGAAAAATCTGCATAAATGATTGTCTATTTCTCGCATTGTGATAAAACAATGGTACATAGAGCCATCGAATTTTGAATGACGAAATCCTACTGCGAATATGGGCATCTGAAATCCCAAATTTGGAATTTGTTTTATTATAGATTTTATATTTTGTAAAACTTTAACGAATTTTTGATTTACAAACTCAATGCTTTAAAAGCGAGAAATGGCAACGTTATATATAAAAAAAAAAAAAACTTTTATCTCCAGCTCGCGAGACTGTGTATATCGGAAATTACATTATTTTGCGATATTGCTCTTGAACTGAATTTTATGGTTTAAGTGCAAAGAACATGATATTTAATAAATAAAGGTAACACTCAAAACGTTAAAAAAACGCCCCTTTGGACGTAATTTAAAATCTGAAAAATTTCAGATTTTTTTTTTTTTTTTTTTCCCCCTCATTTATTTTATTTATCATCTTCCACTGCCTGTTGTTTCATATATTCTATTCTATTCACAAAGGGAATATTTCTAAGAAACAGCTTAAATTTTCAATTACTGAAGAAAATTTTGCTCTGAATTGTGAAACTAAAAATGTATGTAATGCTACTAAAACAATGAACCTTAAATATGGAATTACACTAATTGCACGTACCATGTTAATATCGAAGAAACTAAAGACACTAATGAACTGTACATTGCAGGAGGGAAAAAGGGACATTTCTATATCTCCTGGTCTACTGGGCCGATTGATGAAATTTAAATTGCGTTTTCCACGTATCGAAAGCGCGACTTAGGATATATATTAGATTTATATACAGCATTGTTCTAACATAAGTATTTTGACACAAAATTGGACTTTCTCTGAAATAACATTTTTTTTTTTTTTTTTTTTTTTTTTTTTTTTCCGTTTTTCGATTTTTACGACTCAAATTATGCCCAGATATTAAATTTTGTAATTTTTAGTGAGAAATTTAAAAATTTATATTGGGCCATTTTTTTTCAGTTTGCGGCAAGAATAATTCCTTGGCGAACTTCTTGATTTATAGGAACCTATTTTCCTTTGCCTTTTTTCATTGTGCACGAGCGAGACAAAAAAGATCTTCGTTCATTCTTTCAAATAATTTTAACAAAGTGCTTAAACCACATTTTTGTTATTGTCGCTTATAATAAATACACCAAATTTCAAAATGCGCCAAAATGTTAATCACGTATGTCTTAGGAAATATGGAATAAAAAAACACCTAATTTTTTGCAGGTATCTACTTTGAGATGATAGCAAAATTTTATAGGTTATAATTCAAAAAATTTATTAAAATTATTTGAAAAATACAATTTTAAAAAATAAATCATAAAAATTTGGCGAATTTTATTTAGAATGTACCTAAATTTTGAAATATGAAAGGAAGAATCAAATAAGTTTAATAAAAAGAGATATTAATAAATATATATCAAATTCAACTAACACTGAGAAGCTGAAACTTTGAGAGCTGATTATTTAAAAACTACTCGTGCGATTTTTACAAAACATGACAGTTTGGCATAATTTGAGTCGTAGAATTGAAATATGGAAAACAATTAGCATGCCATTAAGAAATTTAATAATGAAGAATCTGCATAAATGTATGTATGTTTCTCGCATTGTGATAAAACAGTGGTACCTAGAGCCATCAAATTTTGAATAACGTAATCCTTCTGCTGATATAGGCATCTGGAAGCCAAAATTTGGAATTTGTTTTATTTTAGATTTCCTATTTTGTAAAACTTTAACGAATTTTTGGTTAACAAACTCAAGGATTTCAAAGCGAGCAATGGCAACGCTGTACAGAAAAAGCATTTTTATCTCCAGCGCGTGAAACTGTGTATCGGAAATTCTAAAGATATGCTCAATTTAAAATTATTTTGCGGTATTGCTCTTGAACTGATTTTTATGGTTTAAGTGCGAAGAACATAATATTTAATGGTTGATCTTTACATTATGGTAACTTGGCGTTTTTTTGGCGAAAATTTGCCGACCAACTCTCCTACAGCAACCCTCTATTTTTTTTTTCCCGCCGCCATTTTGTCTTCACGAAGTAAAGACATGTTTAATTTCTTTTTATCTACTGAACACTTCTTCCAACAATCTACTAGCCGAATTACACTTATGCTAGAAATTTTATCTAACAAAACTGCTTAATCATGACAAATATTCACTGCAAAATGGGAAAAAGTGAACAATACCCATACTCCTTACGCGTTTTTCAAAATAACACATACACATAAACCATGTACACGCCGACTTATTTTTACTTAAAAAAACATCCCAGAATTACACAAAAATGCCATTGCGCACACTCTTCACTATATCCATGTACACTGCTTTTTTCTCATAAATTACAGAAATTTCACGAAAATACATGACAATTTTCTGAATCTTTAAACTCGGTAAAAGAACATATATGAAATTACATGATCGCGAAAACGTTTATACCCTTTCCAAATATGAACATTTCCACATATAAAATAAATAAAATATCCAAAAACTTTTACCTCTAAATCATCTATTACATTATACACGTCACCAACAAATTCATACCACAAGCATTACAAATACTTAGTATCAAATATTTAAATTATTTTCATGCACGTTTACTTCAACTTAAACGTATACCAAATTCCTACAACATAAAATTCACAAAATAACTATCATTTAATTAAAATATAATTAAATTCAAAAACACACTGCTTAAATATAAATGAGCACATACATTAAATTAATAAAATTACCTTACAATCCTAATTACTTTAAACTAAATCATTGCTAATAACAATTTTCCCAATAATACCAAATTCCTTTACTTCCACCTTACATTTAGAACAATGCATAAAAATAATATCCACAAATAATTAAAAATACTAACTTACCTCATCTTCTTCAGAATCTTGATTACGTGTCCGATAAACTTTTCTTTAGTTACGGCCATAGGATCCAAAAATTCACGAACACTGTTTCACACAACACAGAATAAACCAAATACAAAATTTCCAGATTTTTTCCCGATTTCCCCCCTTTTCCGATTAAAGAACCGTAATTCGTTCATTAATATCACATGACATATCCCATGATTTCTCATTTCCCTCACACAAAATAATGCGTAATCGGAACTGAGTACTGCTCACATTATTACCAAAGTCCCAGGTAGTAACCTTTATCGCCTCCAAAATGTCGCCAAACTACCAGTTACCATATTGTAAAGATCAACCTATTTAATAAAGGTAACACGCAAAATGATAAAAAAAAAAAAAAAAAAAAAAAAAAAAAAAACCTCCTATGGACGTAATTTAAAATCTGAAACCTTTCAGATTTTCTTTTCTTTTTGTTGAATAAAGTAGTTCTGCAGGGTCAAATTCTGTGCAGTTTTAAAATTTAATGTTTGGTGTTGTTCCCTGTAGGCGTTTTATTTATTTTGTTATTATTAAACATATGATTTTGTTTTCACAGTATACAAGGGAATTAAGTTTGGTACATGATATGTCTGGCTCTATCAAAGCTTTGTTAAAGAACATTAGAAATCCTCAACATCTTTACAGAAAATTCTAATTACGTCTTTGCAAAAATAAATTCCTAAATTTGTACATATTTTTCTGATTTCAGTGTTTCAATATGTCGAGGGTTTATTACTTTTAATATCTGCAATCTAAATTTAAACTATAAAGAAAAAGTATTAATTATATGAAATCTGAGACGTAGAAGTTTCAGTTTTCTAAATTGAAAAAAATAATTTTAAACTTTTGTTTATTAAAAATATGATTAATGGAGTTTTCCTTAAATTTTTAGACTTTTACTTTACGTAGCTTTCCTATGGATATATCTTCTTGCTTCGCAAATATTGTGGTGTGGGAATTATAAGGTATTTGATTAATTTTCTATGCGCCTCGTATATACTATTCTAAAAGTGCTGCCATTCCACAAGACTACTTTAGAATTTAATAAACCTGTAATTTCTGAGTGATTTGAAAGCAATATACTCGTTTCTTGATATTTTATAACTTTATTTTATATTTCTATTAACATATTCAATTGATATAAATTCAAATATATATAATATCATATTCAAATATATATAAAATCAAATTCAAATATATACACATATTATATTTCTATTAACATATTCAATTGATATAATTCAAATATATATAATATCATATTCAATATATATAAAATCAAATTCAAATATATACACATATTATATTTCTATTAACATATTCAATTGATATAAATTCAAATATATTGAAATACATAATTTTATTTATTAAACGCTGTTTCTGACTCGGTATACGCATACCTAGGATAGAAACCTTTGGTTTTTCTCAGTAAATTACCAAAGGAATTGTAAGTCATTCATTTACAGCATTTGGCTTTAAATTGTTTTACCATTTCATAAAAATGATTTCATTTTCTTATTTAGTGCGAAGAAAAGAGAACACGATCTGGAGTTTAGTGGCATTCCGGTACTAGGTAAGTATGTATCATTTTTTAGCTAACAATAATTCTAAATATATTTTCATACCAAAGACATTAGATTCATGGAATGCTTGGAATTTATTTAAACAGTTTCATTGTAAATTATTTCAGTTATAGAACATATAGAGAATATTAGAACACTTTTTGAAAGATCTTAATGCAAAAATATATATATTTATATATATTTGTTTAATCAAACCCTTTGAGGGAACAATATCCAAGGTATTAGATAAATGCTTGTTGCATATTAAGCTTTTGCTTCTTTATGGATTATATTACTTCATTTTCATCGTTCTTTGCTATTTCTCAAGGATCTGAAGATGTGGCAGTCACATCCACTTTTCCAGACCCAATCAGCCCTAAGAAAAAACTACAGAAAACAGTAACGTATGAAGTGTTAGAAGACTATACGCAAATATGCAGTGGAGTCTGCCAAACCCGAAATTCTTTCCCAGAATACTCTATGGAAGATAGTAAGTTTGCTATTTTTATATGTATTATGCTTAGATATTTTATGTATAGTTATACGTAAGTCAAAATTTCAAACAAGTATATCTTTCCCATTAATTTCTTAATGAAATAAATTAACAAGAAAATACAGTAATTTTTTACGAGAAATCAAAGTGCAAACTTTACAGAATTAAATAAATAAAGTATTATAAATGTATTATAAATTACAAACTTGAAAAAAAAAAAAAAAAAAAAAAAAAATGCGCCAAAATTATTGCTAGAAAGCAAGGAAAAGATTACTGAAGATGAGGTATAAACTAAATGGCAGTGGAAACATTAATCGTTCATTAACGCTAATGAAGCAAATGTTTATAAACTTGGCAACAAAATACTATAGTGTGCACATTAATTGAGACGCTCTTTTTTGTTATTTTATGTAGATACCTTCATATGCAGTGATATTAATAAAATTAATAGGGAATATATATCTTTCTTTACCCCAGACTTCTCGCTTAGGCATCGACTCTACTAGCCTTATGCATATATGGGTTTTGCTTCTTTATACGCTGTTATAGCATTCTTAATCATGCGCTTTTTTAGCGTACAATCCATTTAAAGACATTCCTTGACAATGTGTCACAAGTTTTCGATCGTTAAGTCTGGCGTTTCCAGAGTTCCATATCGATTTAAGTCTGGTATTTCCAAAGCAATTTAGCATAATAATTTTATTTTCCAGCAGGAACCTTCTGACTGATTTTAACTATGCAGCCAAGTCATGCTGAAATGTCCCTGCAGAGGTTTTCGTAAATAACACAATCCTATGTTTTAAAATTTATATATACAGTAAGACCCCGCTTAACGCTGTTTCGGTTTAGCGCTCTTTTATTTCAACCCGGGGACTCCACGAAATCGCTCGCAGCATACGGGGATTCCCCGAAATATTATGCAGCGATATGTTTCAAATACATATCCGAAAGAGTGTACTTGTATTTTTTGTTTGATGCGGTATTGTACAGACATATTTTGAAGGGGTAAATGTGGAAGATGTCGAAGAAATAATTCAAGAAGCAGCGGCTAGTCTTTCTAATGATGAGCTCAAGGAATTGACTGAACAAAAATGTTGACAGCAGTGATCCAGAAGAAGAGCAAAAAGAACTTTCGATGGCGTTTGTAAAAAGGAGTTTGTCTACCATAACTAAAATAATGGATCAATTCATTGAAAATGATCCGAATTTTGACAGGAGCTCAAAAGTAAGGCGTGGTGTTAGAGATGCTCTATCCGTTTATGAAGAACTTTTAAGAGAACAACGCAAAAGAGAAAGGCAAACAACATTAGATGCTTTTGTCACAAAAAGGCAGAACACTGAAAATGCGGAAGGCTAACTAAATATGACTGAGAATTTTATTTGTTTTTTTTAAGAATATTCGTTTTGTTATTTATATATATTTTTTTTATTTTTGCAAGAAATAATAATGTGGTATTAATTTGGGCTTTAAGAAATAAATGTTTGGTTTTATTTTTATTAAAAAAAATATTTTCTAAATTTAATACCTAACCAATTTCCTAGCCATCTTCCCCTAACCCCAATATTTACATGTAAAGATAGCCTCGTTTAGCGCTGTTTCGCATTACGCTCTACTTTGATGGAACGTATCCCCCGCGTTAAGCGGGGTCTTACTGTACTTTGAATTTATCATTCGGTCAATAGGAACTACATTTCCAGTGCCATCTGCTATGAAAAAACTCCAAAACATTTGTTTTGGGGGTGCATTAGGGTTTTTTGGATATGTTGAGGTCTTATTGATTAACCTTTGCTTCGCCTAACAACGTTAGATGTGCAACCATGAACAATACATGAGTCTGATCGATTAAAATGAACTTTTCCCTGTCATTTAGAATCCAAGATTTGTATTTCTGTGGGCCACAATAATCGCTTCATTTGACATGTCAAATTTGTTTTTTAGTAGACTTTCTCGTCTTCCAACCAGCAGTGAGAAGTTTATGCTGCACATTGGAAGGTTGAATATCAAAACCTGTACATATTAGATCTCTTTTAAGGTCTCTGCTAATTTTTACCGGATTAATAAAGCCATTTCAAAGTAGGAATCGATCAGATTTCGGAGCTGTTTTCCCTTTCCTTCCACACTCGCCCTTACTTTCAAGAGAAAATGAATCAATGGTCACTGGGTCTCCTCAGAATTCGATAAACTTTGGTTTTTTTTAAAAGCAACAGTGGAAGCAATATTTGTTACGCAATCATAGTTGTGTGATTGTTAAGTGCGGTAATCTTTGCTCACTTTCAAGGCATTGAATCCATTTTTAGTACACTAAAATGAACGAATGAAAAACGTATTTAAAATGTTAACTTCCTGTTCTCACTGAAAAAGCTTAAAAGTGATGCAATAATCTTAATTTATTTTCTGCTAGCAGCTTCGCTGCCAGCCTTCGTCTGGCTTTTAAATGTACCGGAAGAATGGCTGAAGGAAACACCAAACGTTAAATTTAAAAACTGCGCAGAATTTTACTCTGCAGAACAATTTCATAAAAAAAAAGTTATTACATATAACAAAATTACAATGAAATAAGCAATATCCCTTAAAACAAATATTAATTATCCTAATAAATAAATTAACCAACTTCCCTTTGCAAAATCTTAAGAACTCAAATGGTATAAAGGAAGTTAAGAACTTTGTTTCCTAAAAAAAATCACTCAAAACTTTTCAATATCTTAAAAACAGTGAAATGAGCAATAAATAACATAAAAGAATACGAAAAAAAAAAAGTTCTGAAAAGCAAAGTATAATTAATGATATTTTATCTTATATTTTCAAAATAAATTACAATGAAATAAGCTATATCCCTAAATACAAATATTAATTATCCTAATAAAAAAAATTAACCAACTTTCCGTTGAAGAAAAAAAAATCATGCAAAACTTTTTAATATCTTACAAATAGTGAAATAAGCAAAAAATAACATGAAAGAAACTCAAAAAACAAAAAATTCCGTGCAGAATTTTACTCTGCAGAACAACTTTATCAAAAAAAAAAACCCAATAAAAATGTATTATATTGTTGCATGCGTACGGGTTCGTTATGAAATGATCAATCGCTTCAATCTTTTCTTGTACAGCTTTTATGTCTTCTTTAAAAGTTACTTGACCAGCTTCCAACTTTTCGTGAACGGCTTCCATTTCCTTTTTAACGGATCTCATCCCTCCTTTAACGGAATCTTGGCCCAATTGCATTTCTTCCTTAACGGATTCCTGGCCCAATTTCATTTCCTCTTTAATTTCTTCTTTAAATGAGGCAAAGGCTGATATTAACTGCCTTAATTGCTCTTCCATCGCTCTTGTTATTGGCATTCAAATCCCACTTCTGACACCAAAAATTGTTGCGTGCGTACGGGTTCGTTATGAAATGAATGCACAAGTCCGATGAAAAATGAACAAAAATTTATTATGATCACAACAAAAATGCTTAAATTTTATCAAATTATCATGCAGTATTACAATATCTCACAGTAGTTATCTTTTAACTAATCAAATGTCCAACAGAACGTAATTCAAAACAGCTAAAGAAAGCTAATCCGCGAATTCGCTACAATCAACAAGAGCAGTTTTCTAAACAACAACAAACTAAGCAACTACTACGAACTGAGATGTTTTCCTCCTTTTATAAGATTTTAAAATCACGCGCTAGAATTTTCGAGTACTTTCTCGAAATCAAAAAGAGATATTTATTTATTTAATGCACGCGCTCTTGTATTTTCAATTTTCCGGCTTAGCTTTCTTTTAATATTCGTCACGCGCTGCACTGTGCGAGAAATAAAACCATTTAATTTATAATTGAACTAACATTAGCTTTTTAAATACCAAATTCGTAACACTATATATAAAAAAATGACAATGAAATTGGCGAATCTCTTAAATTAAAAAAAAAAAAAAAATACAAAATATTATTATTTTTCCAAAATTCTTTTTGTAAAAGCAGTCGCAAGGATGAAAGTTTAACGTGTCCAAACATCAAAGAAAAATAAACTGTACATTTTAAAAAATCAACTTTTTTAGAAAAAATCCTGTTGAAAAGGTGCTAAGCTCCCTTTGTTAAATAAATTCGTATTTAATCGATTTATTGAAACACGAAATTTATTTTAAGTTCGTAAAATAGCTAAGTGCCTACGTTTCGTGACGATGTGAAAATGGAGAGTGTAGAGTAAAATCTCGCTTTCCTATAGCCCATTATGTCTCAAAATGACGCGATTTCGTCACAAAACATAAAACAAAAAAAAAAAAATTCGAATTCGAATTTCGAAAAAATCGCTTCGAGGTGCACTGGCTCTTGTCTAGATGCATCTATGTACCAAATTTCGTAGCCGTGGGTCTATTAGCTTACGCGCAGCACGAACGAAAGACACACACACACAGATAGACTCTTTGTTTTATTATATGTAGAGAAGCCAGTTGTAAATAATCAAAGTCAGAAATTCAGACATATTAAGGCAAATGAAACTGCTTTCAGGGGCCTGCTGGCGCCAGTTGGCAACCAACAGACAAATTTTGTGAAAAAATGGCTTTGTCCCAATTAATTTTGTAAAGTATAGTATAGTTTAAATTATATCAAATGGTTATATTACTAATAATTAAATAAAGATAAACTAAATAAGCTAAAATTATTAAATAGAAGGCATATTGTTCTTATATTTTTCAGATTGTTACAATGATTTGCAAAGTAATGTTGTGATTTGAAGGCTAGATATTAAGGATCTGTCCCAGGATTCGCAACTTCTCTCAGATAGCCCTCTACCAAACCATACTTAAATTTTCTCAGCAATCTGTGAACTTAAAATGGGACAGTTACCACGCATAATAACCATATTTTAACGTAACTTGAGTGACACAAAAAATGAGATTACACGTTTATGACGTTTCGGAGATTGGAAAAAGGCAATGAAAAGGAAAACTGAAAGGCAAAAGAAAAATAAATGATGATTCAAAAATGCGAAAAAGTAAATAAGTAAAAAAATCCATTAATTATATTTTATGATCAACCAAGAAGATCTATTAAGTGGTATTAGTTAGCAGCATTAACCTTCTTTGTACTAGTTTGTATATATATATAAATATAATTTAAAATAATATTTTAAACAAAGGACAAAATAAGCTCAAAACCAGCCTTACATCTTCTTGGTACAAGTAAATTACGATTGCAATCAGACGTAACATGAAGGATTAAAAATGGACCAGACTCCTGCCTGTTTTAAATGAGCCCGCATCTGGGTATCCCTTATGTGCTCTGTTTTTAATGATTGAGAAAGGGAAATAAAAAATCCCATATGTAACCTCCAGGGAACGTAATGTTAATTAAATTTCAGCTGATGTATTCTTAATATCATTTGAATAGGTAGTTTGCGTTTACGGAAAAAGACACAGCTACTAAACTACTAATGCAAACCACAGCTACTATGTGTGCTTGATTTATCATTGCTAGTGGTGCAATGGGGGGATGAATGCATTAAATTTATACAAAATTTTGTATAGTAGTAAATAATACAATATTTTATTCTAGGGTCTTCTCAACCAAGGGGTAATTCTTCCTTGAAGGATTTCTTAGTTTCAGGGAGGAATTAGCCTTTTATTTACCTGTTAAGCCTTTTCAGATCTTTTTTTATCTATTAAATATTTAATTTTAGTTTATGAATGTGAAAAATTATTTTTTCTAAGGTTTTGCTGTTTATCAACATTTTCTATACTTTTCCCGTGTATAATTTATAAACACATTAAAAATTAATTTAAATTTAAATGTATGTATATGTATGTTTCGAGTTTGGGAGTCTTTGCATATCTACAATCTGGCTTTCGGTTTTACATGCTGCATAAAATCCTTATAGTTAATTTCATTCTTGTAATTCAAACCATCAATAGAACATTAATTCTAGAACTGGTTAAAAATCTACATTGACTCTAAAACTAATTAACAATGTTACTCATTAGTTTTATCTTGGAAAATAAAGTATGAAAAATTTATTTCAATACTCATCGCCCGTAATTTACCTAATTTATTAAATTTGACTATCTCGCATATGAAATGCTATCATGTGTAAAACAAACTTCATTTTTCGAAGCGCTTTGTGTGATGAAAAGGGGTTTGCATACAGGATGACTTTAGACATTACAAACTTATTTAGTACTGTCCCCCCCCCGAAAAAAATTCTGATTCTAAGTATGGACAAATTAAATAAAAATATCTATGTGAAATTAAATGCGTCTAGCAAATATGTTTCAGTACAAATTAAAAATAAATTTTTAACCAATTCAAATGCGTCTGGCAAATACTTCTTGACCAATTGACGCCGGATTTTAAAGATAATAGTATATCTAGTTAAATTAACATTTGGGAAAAATGATTTGCTTCAAAATAATTATTAATTCGGAAATAATAAAACGCGCATATTAAATCATAGAAATACACTAATTTTTTAATTTCAGGTTCTACAGAATAAAATGGATAATATTATCAGGAAATTATTTTAGGATAAAAATGTGATTTTATTTTCGGCCAGTATGATATTCATATTCTTCCAAAATCAGTTTCTGTATAAATTTTATATAATTTTTTATGAAAGAAAGGTATAATTTCGAAGAGGTAAATATTTGTTTTTAATGTACATATTTATTTTTATTATTTTAATAATCATATTTTTTTACTTATAGATACTCTAACTGGCAGCAAATATAACACAGCAATCAGTGGCCCATGTGCGTACGAGTATAATACGGTGTCATTTCCACGACTATTAGAAAATGTGCAAGAATTTGGTAGTGGAAATAATTTAACATCAACAAACAACGGTGCTCATTCATTTTCAAATGATTGGTCCAGGTTTACAAGAGCAGACTCAACAGATACAGTTCTACCAGGTTTTATGGACCAAATACATTGTATTCAATATCAGCAATATGAACAACTTCCTTACAGAATTTTAAACAAGTAGGGGGTGATTAACCGACTTGTGAGTATTTTTAGAAAGCATGTGATAAATTATATTTGAAGTGACTGAGCGCTGCTTATGTCTAGGACAGGTATGGCTTTTTCTACAGAGTGATTCACGCGTCATGTAACTGAGCATTATTACCTGTTGTTTTAGAATTAAATAGGATTCCAAATACCTGGATTTACTGGAACCACAGCCCGTTCAGATTTTAGAAAAATCCAATGATTGGTTATCTTTTTTTCTGTAGTAAAAGTCCACATTTATTATCAAGAAGAGTGAGAGAATTTTATTTTATTGCTTGTCGTATTTTATTTTAACAAAAATGATACAGGGGTAAAATATTTCAGTAAAATAAATTGCGAAACATTGTATGTTTCCCAAAAATTACGCAGTCAAATTATTTATAATTTGCTTAATCACACAACTCATTTCTGTCGATTATAATTTTTTTTAACATAAAGTTGGTACATTTGTTAGTCTTTTTTTAGAAAACACTGCACGTTTTACAACTGAGTTTTACTTTCGAAGTGAACAAAGAGTACGTACATATATGTACAGAAGAGCAAAAGTTTGTAGAGTAGAAGAAAGAGTACCTAAATATATCATGTACATTTATGTTCACAGACTACATTTTTGTCAATTCTGTAGGCCAATCTACATTTTTATGCATTCATCTAAATGAACATAATAATTCTTAAACATTTATCTAAATGAACTTCATAATTCTTAAACATATATACCATACATTGCATTAGATTTCCATACCAATTAAATCAACGAGGAAGTTAAAAAAATCGTCAGTTAACCTCATTATAAACAAGTAATATAAAAAAAAAATTTTTTTTAAGTCAATTCCTACTTAGGTCAACAAAGAAAAATTTTTTAAATACAAAAAAAAATTTAATTTTATCTTCACATATTAAAAATTTTAATATGTAAAAAACTGTACTAACATCAAGTGTCATCCACTACAAGTTCAAAAAATGTATATAAACTTGAGTGGATAATTAAAAAAATATTTATTAACTACTGAAAATTAATTAATAATTAATTAAATAAAAAATGTTTTAAGTCAATTCTTACTTAGGTCTACAAAGAAAAAATTTTGAAATACAAAAAAATTAATGTTTCATTTTAATATTAAAAATTTTAATATATAAAAAAACTGTATTGGCATCAAGTGTCATCCACTACAAGTTTAAGAAAATGTATTTGAACTTGATGAATAAAAAGTATTTTATTAACGATCGAAAATGTGAATAAGATATAAGGAGAGTGTGAGCTAATAGTAGGAATTTAAAAATTAATAACAAGCTTAATTTTAATTTAGAAGTCAAACAACAAAAATCAGCGTTATATTTTCAAATTTTACAGGACTAGTTCGGTAAAACAGGACTGGTTGGGTAAAACCATCGAAACTAGTCCTGTGAAATTTGAAAATATAACGCTGATTTTTTGTTGTTTGACTTCTAAATTAATATTTGTTCGGCGTGTTATTGTATCTTAAGCTTAATTTTATTAGCCCCGTAATAACAAAACGTTGTCGATAATTCAAATTCCAGGTAGCTTGCATATAATCGTGACAGAGTGAAATTTCGCCAAGAATGCACATGATATTTTCTAACCTTAATTAATTCTAGTTGTTTAATGTCCATACAATATAAAGCAAGGTAATTATTGTAAGTTTATAATGTAAAGCTTTAAAAAAATATTTAGTAAAGCAAGCGTTCAAATTGCAACCACTCTTTCGTGAAAATTACTTAATGAATTTGAAAAAAATATAAGAAGTTAAAATGTGTATGTTAGTTCATATATGAATGAATGGGGCACCGTATGAATGGAGCAATGAATGCTAAATTTACGGTTAGAAAAAAGCATAAAACTTGAAAATTTTGAATCAGTTTCGCGCATTACTCCATATGAATGGAGCTGTGAGTGTAATTTACGCACATACAGCTCGAAAACGTTGTTGATAAGATGGATTTCGAGATCATGCATACCTCAGACAGTAAAAGAAAAGGGAAAATTTGTAAAACAAATTCTAAAACTAAAATTCTAAAATAGCGAAACTTAAAAAACAAAGCTAGCTCAGCATTTCAGATAATTTGTAATCGTATAAAACATGAGTAATTTCGCATAAAAACGGCTTCCTTCCTTAGCTCCCTTTTACGAAAAATTAAATAATTCTCTTTAGATACGGTGAGTAAAGCTGTTTTGCCGAAATTAAGACAGCAATCTTCTTAAATTCATTTATTTAAAAGTAATGCTTGTAATATAAGTTAGAACATTATTTTAAGTATATATGTTATTATATCGAAACGGAAAAGAAACACCCCAGTGTAAAATTTATAACTACGCCAAAAGGCAACCTTAGATTAGATTAAATTTTAAATAATATTATCGATTTCAAGGGCAATGAAACTTAACTTTCTGTTCTTTAGCAGTACTTGCCATACGTCTTCGAAACTACACCACTCTTAAGGTTGCTTTAAAAACTGGAAAATCGCGAAATACAGTATTCCTTCCTTCCTCGTTTCCATCACGGTTATGGCTCTTCGCTACAGTGTAAAAAGACATAATACATAAATAAGACTTTACGGCAGTATAAAAGGAAAACCGAAGACATAAAATTTTCTAAATATTTACATTACTAGAAAACAAATATATGTGATTGAAAGTAATTTGGCATATTTACAGTTTACATCACTAAAATATTGCTTTGCAGCAAAATGGACCCACAGTTTTAAATGCGCGAAATCAAACCTAATGGAGCATAGTCAGACTACTTCCTGTTAAGTCCCCCTAAGTCAATGATGGCGAACCTATGACACGCGTGCCACAGTCGACACGCTAAGACTCATCAGCTGGCACGTGACTAAAATATTACTTCCTTAATCAATAATCGTGATAAAATGATACTATGTAATTTAAATAAGATTTTTAGTCTATTCTTGAACGTTTCACTTAAATTTCTTATCGCATAATGCCCCTGATATACGGCCTAAACCTAGATATAAGATTTTCATATATCGCCATAGAAATGATATACAGTGGTGGCCAAAATTATGGACACTTTTGGAAATTTTTATGTTTTTGAACTTTGTATGCTTATAGAAAATGTTACGTTTCGCAAAATGCAAACTTGTATATATCATTTTAAAGAGAATCTATTACTGAATTCAATACAAAACACAAAATTCAATTATTTGCAATAAAAAAAAATGTTATATGTACTTTAATATAAATAAAAAACACACTTATGAAGTGGTTTGTAATATCTAGCTTTCCTGGCCAATCACTGTTCTTGTTCTGAGAACCAATTAAATGTTGGTAACTGCCAGTAGAAGCTGACATCATGTTTACACTTGAAACAATTCATTATTTGCTTTGTTCTGTAGAAGGAGGACCTCTTTCTTATACACTGCAATTACAAGTAGGAATTTTTGTAAAAATTTTTAATATTTAGTCAAGAAGCAATGACATCAAATAAAAGAGTAGATTGGACACCTAGAAAGAGATGTAATATTATTGTGTTACGAGAAAGTGCTGTTTCCTATGCTGAAATTGCAAGACAGGTGGGTAGTTCAGTGACTACATCTGGAGTCCGAAAGTTTTGTTTACGATATCAGGAGACAGATTCAATAAAAAACAAAGAAGGAAAAGGCCGAAAAAGGTGCACCACATGTATTGATGACAGAAGAATAAAAAGACTATGTCTCCAAGATAGAAAAATGTCATCAGCGACCATCAGAAGTGATCTGAATGATGCTGGTATTTCTGTCAGTTCAAGAACAATCAGGAGAAGATTAACAAATGTTGGACTGAGAAGTAGAATTCCACGAAAAAAGCCTTATCTTAATTTTCAGCAACGAAAAAAAAAAAAAAAAAAAAAAAAAAAAAAAGACTACAGTGGACAAAGAAACACATTAATTGGACAGATGATCAATGGTCACAAGTTATATGGAGTGATGAAACTAAAATATCGTTATTCGGTAGTGATGTGCGAAAATATGTAAGACGTAGAATACGAGAAGAGCTACATCCTGGTTGCGTTCAAGCAACTGTGAAGAACCCAGTTAGTGTTATTATTTGGTCATGCATGACAGCAGATGGTATTGGTCGCCTTCATGTCATCGATGGGACAATGAATGCCAGAAAATACATTGACACTATTCTAGAACCAAAACTTCTACCTTCCATCAGAGATCTCTTTCCCCAACAATGCTTCGTTTATTTTTCAGCAGGATTCTGCTCCTTGCCACACGGCCAAAATATCGAAAGAGTGGTTTCGTACAAAGAGCATTAAATTGTTGTTATGGCCAGGAAACAGTCCTGATCTCAATCCTATCCAAAATTTGTGGCACCATTTGAAAACTCTTGTTTGAATGAGGCGCCCATCAAATAAAAGGGAACTAATTGAGGCTATAATTGTTTCCTGGCATCATGTAATAACGAAAGAAGAGCTTAAAACTCTTGTCAAGTCAATGAAACGTCGATGTGAAGCTGTAATCAAAAATAAAGGGTACCCTACTAAGTACTGATGACTCACTGCAATCATCACTATCTAATGTATATCGATAACTATTATCGTTTAACTTTTTTTGTATTGCAAATAATTGAATTTTGTGTTTTGTATTGAATTCAGTAATAAATTCTCTTGAAAATGATGTATTCAAGTTTGCATTTTGTGAAACGTAACGTTTTTTATAAGCATACAAAGTTCAAAAACATAAAAATTTCCAAAAGTGTCCACAATTTTGGCCAAAACTGTACATATTTATTGACCCAATTTATGACGTTTCAATTGTTTGGGCCAATCATATTACTTGTCACATGGCAAAGAATATGTCAGTTAATAAGCAGCTAACGTTTGCTAAACGAATTCGAATTTATTGCAGACTGCCGGTGAATTTTAATACTTTCAATGTTAAATAGATTCCAGTTTTCAGATCCAAGCATTTTGAGGTAACTTATAAATAATTCTAATTTAATATCTTTCCACTCTGGGCACGCAGCCCCCAAAATGTTTGTCTCCACTGCCCTAAGGGAATCGACTTTCATGGTGAATCGCGTCGATGATGAGGGGTTGCTCAAAGGAATAACCTAACCCTTCTCTTTAAAACCTGGCGCATCTAGACTAGAGCGGGTGGCGGAAAGTTTTGTTTTGCTGCTTGTGAGACAATCAGTGCGAAAAGCGAAATCAGCGATCTGTGCGAGGTATTGTAATCGAGAATGTGTGATATATAAGAAATCGCTTCTAATACTGAGCAGGGGCCCACCATACGTAATCTTGTCCTGTTCTGAATATTACATACTATATCCATTAAGAGAACCTGACACTGTAATGCAATGAAT